ACTAGTTTTTTTGGCAGGTTGGTTTTTGTTTTATTTTTTTTTTTTGCAGTGGGTATTATTGTTGCTGTTGATGATGTTGTTCTAGTTTTTCTTGGTCTTCTCTGTATCACACCAGCCCGGTCAAATATCATGGTCTTGCGTACATCCCACCTGGCTATGTGAGGACAAAAGTAATACACTTGTGTCTTGGAATAGTTCTGCTCTTCCTTTGCTGGGGCTCTTGAACATAAGGTTCACAAAGCCAACTATGAGAAGTTTTGTGACCAGGCCTATTCACCAGGTGTGCCACTGTCCGTAGCTGCTGAGCCATGCTCTGCATTCAGAGTAGAGAAAGCACCAAGGCCAACAGCAGGGTTTCACCCAAGACTTGGAGGCTTAAAGCAAGTGATTATTACCTTCCTTGGTTTTATGAGACCTTGGTCCTCACAGAGTGTACTATGTAGGACACACACTTCTGTTATTAAAGGAAATTAAGATTTCTAAATTATTTTGAGGATCTCATTAAAACCTCTTGAGGTATGCCCTGGAGTATAAAATTTATTTTATTTGAACATTTAAAGTCTAATAGTTGTTTCTGTGAAAGAAAAGTCACACAGTGAAGCCTAAACTTAGGTATTTGCCCAGTTGCTAGAAAACAATTGTTGTAGACTAGAGTCCCTGGGAAGCAGGTTCTGATGCAAAGTTTAGGGTGTAAGTCATTTAGCAGAGCTTGGTTTTGACATTCATACTGTAGAAAGGAGGAGAAGGAAGTAGGGTTGGGCATTTATTTAAGACATTAAAAGAATGCCTGGCAGGGGTATAAATAAGCAAGTAGGTAATAGAAAGCTTAGTGCATGTATGGTCTGCCTACACAATGTCATTGGAAGCATTCATAAAAGTCACAGATAATAATTTAACCAGGCTGGATAGAACTATAAAACTGGCATAGCAATTCAGAAAAGCAATTTGTAAATATAAATTAGCAGCTTTCACAATGTTTATATGTTTTGGTTATAGAATTCTAGAAATTTATCCTAAGGAAATAGAGAAGTGTGGATAAAATTTTGGTATGAAATAGTTACTCTAGCATTAATTTTAATAGCAAAACTAAAAACAACTTAGATCTTATAATAGGAGAAAGGTTAAATAAGTTATAGTGTAGTATATCCAATTTTACAAAACTATATAAAATTGGCTGCTCCAATTTTAAATGCAGCCATTAAAAGCAGGGGTTTTAAAGAATTTTTAATGCCACAGGAAATTGCTCACATTATCATGTTTAGTAATAAAGCAAAATTTGCAGGATTCCAATATGTTATTATATGTTTGAAAAAGATCAAAGGTATGTTTATCAATTGATAACTCTGAGAAGTTGCATTACAGGTTATATTCCTTTATTTTTGGTTCTTTTTATATTCGGGGTTTATCATCTGAAAAAAATTAATTTGGCTTGGCTAAAACTTCCACCTTAAGAATATCTGAATAGACAACAAAGGCAGAGAGATTGCCTACCAAAGGTAATAAGCAAAATCTAGGAGTATCACATGGATACAGCGCTCCAGTCCCTCCTCTCAGCACACTGTCAGCAATTCATTTATCCTCAAGGATATTTTCTGTAACCCTAAGGTCAGAAAGTGCAGAACAGAAAACTTCATTCTGACATTTACTCAACAAACACGTGGGAACAAACCTGGCAAGATAGCACAGCAGAGAGAGTGTCAGATCCTTAGAGGACAGTGTCCCAGACCCTCCAAAATAGCCCATTTCCTTGGAATCTCTCTTAGAAGCAAGAAAATCTTTCTCAAAGCCCCCAGCACAATTCCACTCTTGTCTCAAAGGTCAGAATTTGTCACATGTCCACACCCAATCCAGAAACTATTACCAGCTGAGATCAGAGAGCTTTGCGCAGAAAAGGGGGCGAGGCTCCCTGAAGCACATCTCCAGGTAGAGTGTGATAGATGCCTGAGCAAAATTGGTGTTCTGATATGGAAAGGGAAAGGGCGAAGGATGTTGAGGCAGATCATTCAGTGCTATGTCTGCTCTACTCCTCACTGCATGAAGCCTTGTCTACTGTAAATTTCAAAGGAGATGTGGGTAGGAAGGAGACAGGGAATGTGGTTAACTTGGTTGTCCAGAGTAGTTGGGGTGAAAGTGCCTGATGACAAAAGGAGGAGGGAGAGGGCTCAGTAGACTAGCCTGACCTACTTCACAGTTCTGTCTAGCAAGTCCTGTTGGAGCATAAACTGGGACAGTACAAAATCAGGGCCAAACACATTCTAGTCTCTGATAGTGTGAACACAAGGTGATAATGAATACTGACTCATTTGAGATGAACAGATGTCTCCGCATCTGAGCTGCAGATATCCTTGGAGAGGAATGGTGGACCTTATGATCCACTCAATATGAAGAACGCAAACCCTTCAAAATCGACATTTAATATGTTATAACCACCTACCATCTCCAGCCATAAACTAACCCCTAAAGGAAACAAAAGACATAAGACACAAGGTCTGGCTTTGAAGAATTTAAACTCAGCTGAGTCAAAATAAGTGATTTTGAGAGCAATACCAGGCCTTCTGGAATGAAGGACTAAGGAATGTTGTGCAAAGTGGAATTATGGCGGGGCTCCTCAAGCACGGAGGGAGGTGGCTGAGGGGCAGGCTGCGGGAAGGAGACCTGAGCTGAGTAACCCCAGGTGAGTCAGGATTTGGGGTAGGGCAGGCAGAGGAGGGTAGAAGGAAGAGCCATAGATTGGGAGGGAGGGTGATAACAAGGAGAATCCTCTGACAAGGATGGGGACAATGTTGGGGTAGTGAGAAATTAATTGGGTGAGAAGGGTGGGGCTACAGGAATTTAACTCATGTGTTAGGCCTGGTGGGCCACTGTTAGGTTTGGGAGTGGGTCACTTTAGGAGTTGCCTGGCTGTGATCATGAGGGTTTTGTTCCTTTTAGAAGCTTTTTTGTTAAATGAGGACGAGCTTAACCTGGTGTGTGGGGTTGTATACAGGCGCATTCTTTCCTGTGACTTTGACAAGAGTCCCATCAGCAGCCTGGACAGAGACACAGTGCCAAGAACAGCTTTGAGCAGCAAGTGTGGTAGTGGAAAGGGAGTGGGTTTTGAAGCCAGGCAGACTTAATTAAAGGTCTAGCTCATCACCCATTAGCAAATCACTTCATTTCATTTCTGAGAACCTTAGTATTTTTTTAATCTATGGAATACGCATAATCCCTACTTTACGGCATTTTTATAAGAAAACATCTAGTACATAGATAACCCTCAAAATGTTAATGCTTTCCCTTCCTTCTTCTTGTTTATCAAAACGATTATAGCAGGTTCTGGCGGGGTAGCTCAGGTGGTTAGAGCAGTGTCCCAATATGCCAAGGTTGCGGGTTCTGTCCCAGGTCTGAGCGCATACAAGAATCAACTAGTGAATGCAAAAATAAGTGAAACAACAAATCAATGTCTCTCCCTTTCAAAAACAAAACAAAACAAAAAAAACATTAAAGCAAAACCTCCAATGATTGATCTTGTCTAATAATGTTGTGTGGCAACTTTAGAACTGTCTCTTCCATAGATACAAGGCAAGGAAGTTTTGAGTTGTTCTTGATTTAAAAAACTGAACATTTCCATCAAATGTTGGCAGTTTTTATTTTAAATACAAAGTAATACAATTTATCTACAAAGGGTATTTTTACTGTTATTATTAACTTTTCTTTCTAGCGGTGGTTTTTAACTTACAAATTAAATATCCATTACAAATTCAACTGAGAAGAGGAAAGGAGGCGCAAACAATGGTGAAAGGGCAAATAAGTAGATTCCTATAGTGCAAAGGTGTGAGACATCCACTTTTACTTTAGATTTGAATTTTCTAAAAAGGCCATTATTGTCTTTTATACATTAAAAATAATTTATTTTTTCATTAAAAAATATATGACTCTCCCACTTTTACTTCCCGAAAACCAACCCTGGGCAGGCAACAAGCAGTGTGTACGAGCGAGTAGAGAGCTCCAGGGGTGCAGCACAAGGCCGAGAGGAGGAGGTGGTAGGTATAACCAAAAGGAGGGCTCTGAGTATATTTCAAATTTGCCCCTCATCTTCAAAAAGAAAGACATTGCTTACTACTGGTTCGACCAAAAAACTTCTTTCCTGCATCGTTCCCCAAGAGGGTGAAAAACCTAACGGATCCTTAGGAAAAGACAGGAAAGAAAAGGAAAAGTAGAAAGAAATAAAGAAAATGAAAACAGCTATTTAAAAGGGTGGTGGGATGATGGGTGAATTTTTGTCTCAAGTTTCATTGACATCTTCATCCTGTTCACGCTGTAATGAAGTCTGAGAGTCATCTAATGCAGACAATGCTCTTTGGAAGACGGGCAGTGGGGGGGGGGGGGGGGCGGGGTGGTGAGTGTGGGAGTATTCTGTGTGAACCTGCAGGTGACGGGGGCCGCGGGTATTGGAGATTGTACAGTGTGTGGAGTTTGGAGTGTGTCAGCGAGTGTGTGAGTGGGTCGCCGAGTGTGTATGTGACGGGAATATGGGTGTGGGGGTGTATGAAGGTGCGTGAGGAGTGCAGGTCTGTGGATAGCGTTGTGTGTGTAGAACGTGGAGAGCACACGGTGTGGTGTGCACAGTTTGGAGTGTGAGAGAGGGTGTGGATTGAGAGGAGTATGGGTATGAGGGCGTGAGTGTGCAGTGGTACGCGTGCGTGAATTTGTGCGGAGAGAGCACAGGACGTGCGGAGTTTGGTGAGTGAGGTAGGTACGCGGAGGGCAGGCTAGTGTGCGCAACCCCCCCTACACACGTCCTGCCCTTCCCTACCCCTCCCCACCCTCCACGCCCCGCCCTGCCTGCGGCGGTGGCGGCGGGTCGGGGTGCGGCGCTGCGGAAGCCGCTGCTCTGCGGAACGCGGTGGAAGAGGGGCGGGAGCGTTGGGGCGGGCGCGCCGAGCCGGAAGCGCGCTGGTCCCGCAGGGGCGGCCTCGGACGTGTGCAAGATGTCCTTCAAGGTAAGCGCCTGGGTTCCGGAAGTGAGTGTCAGGGCGGGCGACACACTGGCGGCGGCGGAACCGGCACTCAGAGACCGCCCGAGCCGCCTCGCGGGTCCGCTGGGTGGGGTGAGCCTGCAGGGTGGGGTGGGCGCCACTTGGGTGCCGGCTTAGGACAGGAGGAAGTGACCAGGCTGGGATGGCTCTTGTGGTTTGTGGTTTGGTTGTGTGCACTTTGCTAAAAAGGCTTTCGGTACTTACGGCTGCTGGTCCGATGAGCCAGACCGCGGGGAACTGGGGCGGCAGGGACTGTCGCCGGGGTAACAGGCGGGGCGGTGACTTCCTCGGTCAGCGCTATCTTGCAGCCCAGCTCAGAAGGACGAGGCTGCGGCATGGATTCGGATTCTGTGACCTCCTTGCGGAATGCCAGCCACACAGCTGCCTCCTCCTCACCGGAGCACTTTTCTTGGGCGCTGAAGCTGAGCACCAGCACAGGCTTCAGGGTCCAAAAGAGTCTTGAAAGAATTTATTAAAGTCATTCCGTTATATCTCCACATTTTAGGATGCAAGTGAGGTCAGCCGATTTCCCTCTATTGAAAAGTTTTAAATAAAAATAATAGTTAAAATGTTCTGAGCAGTTAAAATGTGATCAACTCTTATGCAAGGGTATCACTGTTCATTTTCTGAATCTGCAAAAGACCCATGAATTGTACTTTCCTGGCGCGCGCTCTCTCTCTCTCTCTCTCTCTCTCTCTCTCTCTCTCTCTCTGTCAAGAAAATGAAAACAGGCTAAGTTGATTAGCTCCTCCAACAGTTTTGCAGCCAGTAAGTGAATGGTGTTAAAATTGAAACTCTAGTGTGTCTGGCTCCAAAGCCTCTGTAATCCCATCTCCTACTGTAGCTCATGTAAGTAGAGGAGTGACATGGTGAGATTTACATGTTGGAAAGATCTCTGGCTACAGTTTGGAGAGTGGAGCTGGGAGACCAAATAGGAGGATGTTGGATTCATCTTGTTAAATGGTACTGGACTAGAACACAGGTGGTGATGATGGAAGGATGTGGACAAAATGAGTGACTTTAACATATTTAAATCTACAGAATTCAGTAATTGATATTATTCACAGAGTTAGGGAAAGCCAGGGAGGTGAAGAGAAAACGTTCAGGTTGGGACATGTAAAGTTTAAGGATTAATGGAAGTCCAAGAAAAGATGTTGAATAGACTGGGAGCCCGGGAAGGTAGTCTGGGCCCGGGAGAGAGGTGAGACTTAGGAGTGAAGAGTGTTATGTGGGAACTGAACCCATGGCAGTGAACATGATGACCCACAGGTGTGTAAAGGTGGAAAATAAGAGGATTGAGGACAAAATCTTGAATATCAAGACTTAAGAATGAACAGAATTAGAGAAGCCCATTGAGAAAACTGAGCAGCAGCCACAGATACTGTATGAGAACATACAGAAGCTTGTGCCATCAATTCAGCCAAGAATCTAGTTTTTTAATAACCTTGGAGAGGGACTCTTAAATACCACAGAGAAATGAAACAAATGAAGAATCAAAAAGTGTCCATTGAATTTTGTAACAAAACAGCCCCTGGTGACCTTGGTGAGAGCACTTTCAGTGAAGTGTGGGGTTCAGGAGCCAGATTGCAATAGCTTGAACAGAGAGTAGATGGAAACCATTAGTATAGAGAATTCTTTCAAAAAATTCTGCAAGAAACAGTGGCTGTAGCAGGGATGCAGACTTGGACAAGGGTCTGTTTGCTTTAAAATGGTAGAGACTTATGTATCCTTAAGTGACGATAGGCATCTCAACAGTAAAAAGACAACCCAGTTTTAAAATGGCAAAGGATATGAATACACAATTTTCCCAAGATTTACAAATGGTCAATTAGGCCCTGAAAATATGCTCAGCATTATTAGTCATCAGGGAAATGCCAATCAAAACCAGAGTGAGAAACCACTTCACACCCACTAGGGTGACTGCAACCACCAAGACAGACAATAACAAGTGTTGGCAAAGATGTGGAGAAATTAGAACTGTAACGGCAAGTAAAATGATGCAGCAATATTTGGTCCTTCAAAAAGTTAAACATAAGAGTTATCACATGGCCCAGCAATTTCAGTCCTAGATATATACTCAAGAGAAATGAAAGCATATGTTCACACAAAAAGCTTATACACATGTTCATAGCAATATTATTTATAATAGTTCCAGAAACCAACCCAAATGTCCATCAACTGATGATAAAATGCGCTATATATTAGTCAGCTTGGTCTGCAATAACAAAATACTATAAACTGGGTAGCTTAAAAAAACAGGAATTTTATATCTCATAGTGCTGGAGGCTGGAAAATCCAAGATCAAGCTGCTGGCAGATTCAATGTGTGACAAGAGCCTTCTTCCTGGCTTGCAGACAACCACCTTCTCGCTACATTCTCAGGTGGAAGACAGGAAGCTCCAGTGTCTCTTCCTTTTCATTTACGTGCAGTAACCCTGCCATGGGGGCTCTACTCATGGCCTAATCTACATTGAATTGCCTCCCAAAGGCCCCACCTTGTAGTACTATCACATTAGGGTTTAGAACTTCCACATATGAATTTGGTGGGGAAAAGTCATAAGCATTCAGTGCATAAGATGCATATCCATACAGTGGAATCATCGTTCACCCATAAAAAGGCTGAAGTACTGACATAAAACAACATGGAAGAAACTTGAAACATGTTAAGTGAAAGAAGCCAGACACAAAAGTCCACATATTGTATGATTCTATTTATATGACATGTTCAGGATAAGGAAATCCATAGAGACAGCAGGTAGATTTAGTGGTTGTAAGGGGCTGGGGAAGAAGGGACAAATGGGGGATGATCGTTAATAGGTATAAGGTTTTTCTTTGGGGTGATAAAAATGTTTTTGGAATAGTATGGTGATAGTTGTAAAACCTGGAGAGCACACTAAAAACTGTTGAATCACATGCTATAAAAGGATGAAGCTCAAAAAAAGTTTTAAAATGACAGCAGAGAGTTCTGAGAAGGCTTGGAGTAGAGGGGCTAACTGAGCCGAGAGGACAGAGAGTAAGCAGGCCTTTATTAATTGCAGAAATATACTAAACAGGCCAAGGAAACCCTTTTCCATTGGAGTCTAAGAAAGGCGGTGAGGTTGAGTGTGGATTTTGATGTTTTGTAAAGTTGAAAACCAGGATGAGGTCTAAATTTGGGTTAGGCAAAAAGGGAAGTGCCAAAACTTTCAGTGAAGAACAAAGAGTGATCAGGCAGCAACACCTACCAGGTGATATGAGGCAGAGGCTGAGATAGTGGAGTGGCCTAAGGGTTGAAAAAACCAGCGATTCCTACACCTGACTGCAAGGGCAGTGTCTGGAATCCTGGTGAGGAGGGCCCAACCCAGTTTCCCAGCCTAGGGCTGGTGTTGGGGAAGGTCCAGTCTCTGCCGGGGAGGGGTGCTGGCGAGCTTTCCACAAGGAGACAGAAGAAGCAAAGCACTCTGTCCTAGATTAAATGGAGTTGATTTTCCATGAAGCTCCAAAAGGCACAGAGGGAAGACTGGATGGGGAGGGAACAGAGTCCCTTAGTGGACTAAGCCTGCCCTAGCCCACATCATATCAAACATATTAAAATGTACCCACAACCCATGATAATAATAGAGACTTTTATTTTTGGAAGGATTTTTATAATATTGCTTTTAAAGTTATTTAGTCATGAATATTTAATTTACATTTGTCATTGGTTTTTCTGTCATTGCTATATATATAGTCAGTAATTCTCATGTAATGAGAAAATCAGACCTACAAGTTATTTTCATATTTCATCAATATTTTATGAATACCATTTTTAGCATTTATAAACAAGTTGACAAAATGGTATATTTTGTAGCTTTTTAATTAAATATTCATTAACTCTGATTTTGGAACCAACTGTTTCATTTTTCATAGACCCCTGGAACACTCTAGGTCATAGGCCGTATGTCTCCAAAGCCTTTGTTTAAAAGGCCCAGCCTTGCTGGCTGAGTGTGTAGGAGAATAAACAGAGCGTCATAAATCACCATTGAGCTCTGCTTGATGACTCAGAGTCACTAAATGTAGGGCTATTTGCTGCTTCTGAACCACATGGGCCCCTCTGCATCTATTTTTTACGCTTCCTCCATTATGCTGTCAGCAGTCATTTCTCCCTGCTAATCGGTTCGCCTCCCTAAACCTCCTCTTTCACAATTGGAAACTCCTAATTTCATCTGGTGGGAAAACAGACACATGTTCTTTAGAATTATCCATAAAGTAAAAGCAAACCCAGAATATAGATCTGAGCCTTTTCGTGAAATGACGTTCATGGATTTCATTACATCAACTTTTTACTTTATAACAGCTATTTCACCTAATGAGGACTGATTCTTAAGGGCTGAGGTTGCCAGAAGTTTAACACAATTGTGGCAGGGGGTGGAGGGGGGTTGGACGGTAGACTGACATGTGAGTCTGACATGTAGAGGGACATTGCTGGATAAAGAACACCATCGGTCTTTCCTGAGCATGTGCTATCCAAGCAGGTAAAGCATCTCAGTACCATGTTTCCTCTTGGTGACAGAAACTGCGCATGCATTGGCTGAAAGTACAGGAACTTGAATGTTTCATCCTTGTTCTGAAAGTATGTAAATTATCTCATAATCGGCTCCGATTCACCAACCAGCTGAAGTTATTTGGATGAACCACAGTAAAATTACTTACAAACCCATTTTTTGAAACAGCTTTATTGAAATGCAGATCACATACATATGACTTACCCATTTAAAGTGTTCATTTCAGTCTTGGTATATTCACAGAGTTGTGCCAGCATCAGAACAATCAGTTTTAGAATATTTTAATCACCTCAAAAAGAAGTCCCATACTCATTAGCATTCATTCTCTATTACCCTAACTTCCCAGCTTTAGATACTGCTAATCTGCTTTCTCTCTCTATAGATTTGCCTATTCTGGTCATTTGTTTTAAAAAGGCTTTAAGTATGGTCTTGATCAAATTGTGAATTGGGAAATTCCAGTGTTATATAATCCCGTTTCTAAGGCAGAATGCCTGGGGCAAATCACTTTATTCAGTTTCCTATCACTTACTGGAGTGTAACAATACTGACAACGCAGGATTTAGGCATCTTTAAAGATTATTGAACATTCAGAAATTTTCAAGTACTTAGCATAAAGGGACAGTGGGTTACAATAGCCACTAACACATCAAGCATCCTCCGCACATGGCTTCTCAGTCCGTCACTGTATCCTTATTTCATGGGGCTTTTAACATCAAAGAAATACATTATTGAACAAAGCTCATGTTCTCTTGATGAATTAATAGGATACAACTGAAACCCACATTTTTTTCAGCTTTAATTTTTTATTGTATTTCTTCCATTACCCTTTAGTACCTTTATATTCCCTCCCTCCACCCCACAATCACTACATTGCTGTCTGTGCCTATGAATCCTTTTTCCTTTTTGCACTTTTTAAAACTGATAGTTTCAAGCTCTCCCCTCTCTTGGCTTTTAATTGAAATTCCAGTTCTGTACAAATAACAATTTCCCTGCTATGTTCCTCTCCCCTTCCTTCCAGTACCTAATTTTTGGGAGTGTGCTAGTGGAAAGCATTTATGAGCCACAATTCTAACAGTAAATGGAGGGGCGTGGAGAAGAAAACATGGCATATAAGGAAGCCTATGTTCAGTTTTTCTCACAGGGTACTAAAGATATAAGACCGTAGACTCTGGACTCAAACAAATGTGGGTTTGAATCCTGGCCCTGTTACTTCCTCACTATATGACTGAGTAATTCATTTCTGGGCCTCAGTGTCCTCATCTTAAAAATGAGAGTAACAATAACTCCTGATGGGGTGGTTCTGGGAATTAAACACATCAGAGCAGTGAAAGTGCTTAGCACGCTGGTTGGTACACAGCAAGGTCTATGCACAACATTGGCTGTCATTGCTGTTCTCCATAATATGGCAACCGACAAGCCTGAAGGAGGCACACTGGCCTTGTAGAAACAAGAACGATCAAGAAAGAGGTTAAATAGTCATAGCATGATTGGTAAAGTGCTTTACAGTTTGTATGAAGCATTTTCTTATGCAGCATCTCCTTTAAAGACTAAAGGGCTTGCCCCTGGTCCACTCCACAGCATTTATGATTTCGTGCATATTGTACCTGAGGAGGTTTGGAGTTACCCAGGCAACGTGGTGGGTATAGACCCCAAAGAGAAGGAAGGCCAAGGGACTTTGCATCTTGGCAGAAGAGAAGCTTCGAATGAGGACAGGAAGGAGGTCATGGGTTCATGCTGCCTATTCCTTGCCGTCTACAGAAGGAGAATGCCACAGGAGGCGGAAGGGTGTGATGGCTAAAAGAGCAGCAGCAAGTGCCCACTTCGTTGAGCTGTGATGAGGATCAAATAAGCAACATACCAGGTGGTACAGGATAAGCATTTAGCATTGGCTCAAGATTCCCGCCCTCCAATAATGTATGGGCCACAGTGCCATAGGAGAACTTACCCATGTCTTTGCTAGAGCTCTCCACCTAGATGCCCCATAGGCACTTGGAACAGCATGTTCAAAGCTGAATTTATCATTTTTCCAGAAACCTGTCACTCACATGTTACTTCAGACTTTCATGAATGGCACCACATCAACCAGGCGCTCAAACCAGAAACCTAGGAGTCAACCCAGGCTCCTTCTCCCTCCTCTCCTGCACATGGATTCACAGACCAAGACTATTCAGTTTAGCTCCTTAAAATTTCTCGTGTCTCATTCTGCCAGCCCACTCTTGTTGCCTCAGCTTGGGCCCTCATCTCTAGCTCTGTCTCTGCAGTGGTCTCCTTAGCCTCGTAGACACCAATCTTACCTGGTTCCAGTCCTCAGTCCATTCTCCCCCAGGCTGCCACAGGACCTGTCTAAAACACAAAATGGGTAGTCTTGCCCCATCTTAAAACCCTTGCTCTACTCTGCCATGCCCACCAGGATAAAGTATACACTCTGTTAGCAAGTGCAACAGCAGCTTCTTCAGGGTGTGGCCCTGACTACCTGCCCTGCAGCGCCTCCTGCCCTCTCCTTGCACCCTTCATCCAGCCTTTCCAAGGTAAAGATTGTTCCCAGATGCTGTGTAGCACCTCTACGTCTTTGACTCACCACCCTGTCTGCCTGGGACACTTACCACCCAGGCCCCTACTCATCTTCCAAAACTCTTCCCAAGAATTCCTGCTCTTAGAGGCCATCCTTGGCCACCTTCCTCAGGTAGAATAGTCCATGCTCTGCTCTCACCACCACCATCTGTGTTCCTACTCTAGCACCTATAATAACTTGGATGCCTCAACATGACTTATTCCACTGGGCCTTAAAGCCATTTGTGAGCAGAGATCAGTGAGTCGCACCTCTGGTCCTAGCCCCTGGCCAGTTCCAGTGTCCCAGCGAGTGCTAGTGACTAAGTAAACAAATTCACCCGGACGAGTATTTAATGTGCTGTGAGGACTGTGCATTTATAGCTAGATTTCTTGTATGTTTTCTATCAAAGTATATTCATGAGTATTGTCTCATTCAGTCCTCCAACAACATATGAATGAGGTAATATTATTATTATCCCCATTTTACTGGGGCAAAGAGAAGTTAAATCACCTGCCCGGGGTCACAGAGCTGGGCAGTAGCAGGGTCAGAACTTGAACTCAACTCTTCCTTACCCAAAATTGACTGTCATTCCTCCATCTCCCTATAAACCAAGCTCTTGAGGGAAAATGAAGTATTTACCGCTTTTCACAAAGCTGGCTTTCTAAAGCTTTATGAGAAACCAAGATGTGTAACCTCAGCAGGAGAGGAATCCCTGAGGCCATTCTCAAGGCAGGAGAGGCTCCCTGCTGGAGGGCTCTTGACGACCATAGAAGACTGTGCTTTGTCGGTGATTTTTGAAAGGTATTTTGGGTTAATGCAAAACAAAAACATTGAAAATTATTTACAATTTATTACTCCCAAGTTTTCATGTTTCCGGAGAAGCCGGCAGAGAGGTTCCATAGTGCATATTAGATTCTCTTCCTAGATTCCCTCCCAAACTTCATTTTGGCCTTGTGCAATTTCTCTGTTGAAAGGGTGTTGTTTCATGCTTTATTCTACAAGTCAACCCTGCCTTACTCTTACTTCACCCTGTTAGTAATGACCCTAATGTGAGACCCAGCCTGGTACAAAAAAGCCACAGACGCTGGATGAGAGCACCACCAGCTCCAAAGCTCTGGGACAGCAAAATTGACAACTTCAGGGAGAGCATACTGTTCACCTGGAATTTGCGGTGATTTGTTTTCATCATAACTGAGCCAGGAAACTATTCAAAGTATGTTTGAAATCTGCTTATCACTCTCTGCTTTGCCATGCTTGCATCCAAGAATGCACAAGAGTACTCAGTTGTGCATGTGATGAAGGTTCTGGAATGAAATCCTCACACACCACCCCGCTGTTGCTGTGCTTTCATTTATGTGGCTCGATGGAGTAGCTTAAATGGTTGGGATTTTCTTTTTAACTTAGCATAGGTAGATTAGGTATTATGTTGAATACCGTAGCCATATACTTAAAAGGCACTGCATAAAAGGTTTTTTAGGTCAGGCAAGTGTTTTAAGCCCACCAAAAAGCTTTTTGTTCAACAACTTGAATACTAGAACATTTTCTGAGACCAGCAAAATTCTTTATTTAGTATCAATACTGAGTTTAACTTTGCCTGCTGATTCTAACTTTGTAAAGTAAAGGAGAGATAGGGAGAAACGAGTGTTACAAGCATTTGTGATATATTGGGCCTTGCAGTTAACCTGCATCATTTAATCTTTATCTTAAACTATAAGACAGGTAGTGTAGTCTCTGTGTAAGCAAAAGGAATCGGAGACCTGCTGGAACCAAGTCCATAGTGCAGGGCTTGGCTTGAAACCCAGAGCTGTCTGGTTCTTCCAAGCCCGTCCTCCCAGCTCTGCCCCGACCATGACTGTTATGTGCAAATCCAACTCGATGCTTTAGAGAAGGAACTTGTGCTGCAGGTTGATTTTTGAGTTTTCCTGCTCTGTTCCTTCCCTAGGTCTGGTTCCAGCATTAACTTTGCAACTTTAAAATAACCCAGCATGAGGGATACATATGGGGACACATAACAACTTTTTCTGCCCAGAATTCCTGGTTCTTAACTGGAACCTGTGGCAGGTTCCAGCTGACACGAAGAAAACTAGGTGGAGAGAAAGGGAGGCACTTACCCAGACAGCTGGAATTGAGTAGAAACTGTTGAAGGCACAGAACAGATGCTAGTAAACTCCTTTGGGAGGTCCGAATTGGGAGCAGTTTTCTCTGCGTAAAGGTGAAAAGAGATTTGGGAACATTTGAGAGAGGAAATAACCATTTAAATACAGCCTTGGCCTTGAAGGATGGGGAAAAACTCTTTTCAAGCAGAGAGGAAACTGAACAAACACAGAGGCAGGAAAGTGAGTGCATTGGTGGGAAATAGGGTATTAATAGTGTTGTATTATCAACAACTTGTGCTTCATAATCAGCACTGGGGCTCAGTTATCTGCTACAAAATAGTACATTCCGTAACCAAGTGCATTATAGTTATCTGCTGTTGGAGGAGCAATCTTGCAAATGATACGGCACATCTGGAAATTCTGCCTTTTAAGTGGTATATGTTTGCGTAGAAGTGGTCATGTTAACTAATGTTGATTTCAAGATCCTGTTTTCTTTTGCTTCTGCAGAAGGAAACTCCACTTGCCAATGCCGCATTCTGGGCAGCGAGGAGAGGAAACCTGGCTCTGCTCAGGCTGCTGCTGAACAGCGGTCGGGTGGACGTGGACTGCAGGGACAGTGTACGGATGGACTCATTTGGTATACGCATGCCAAGGACACGCCATGTCCTCCGTTGCCATGAGAGCACCTCCTGAACACATTTCCCTTAACTGCTTATCTACTCTTTCATGTGTTTGCTTGCTTTATCCTTTTCAAAAAGTCCAAGGCACCACGGTGAACTTAAAAATGTATTGGGAAAACTATTACATGCATAAAACCACAGGAGGCCAAAATAGGGAAAGAGACACTTCACCAGGAATCTGAATTGGCAGATTCCAAGAAGAAGCGGGTGTTTAGTCAGAGAATTCAAACCAGCTGCTTTCACGAAAAGGTGGAGATAATTTAGAGTGGAGGAAGGCTGCTGTGGAGTTGGGAGTTAGGTTTTTTCCTACAAGGATGAGAGGACAGAAAGGGAGCCTCCCCCAGATTCTTCCCCTCTCATTACCTTTGCAAACATCAATACACTAATTGGCAATTAAGGAGAACTAAAAATAGACACTACTGCCCACTGGAGGCCTGGACTAAGACAGCCCCTCCCTCCCCAGCTAGAGGTAATGATTTCTCTGTACTCAGCGTGACTTCTCCACATCTTTGGGGACAAGGAGGACCTCAGAGGAGAGAAGGAGAGAACAGATGTTTTGATTTTAGGATTTAAATAAAAATGTTTTTCAAAGGAGCCTTATTGTTTTCCTGAAAACAGGATGTGCCATTTCCAGCTTTTATTGCACAAATTTGGTCATTGAGGTCAGCCACCAGCCACAGGGAGCTACCAGCGTGTGCTCCAGTGCACCCTCTGGGGGCATCAGTGCAGGGAACTTGGGTCTGCACCTCCAGGTCCACTCATGCCCTTCTTCAGCTTCCCCGCTTCCCCAGCAGCTGAACTGTATGGTCTGTCCCAGTGGGCTTACTTCCTTCTTAACTTCCGGTTGGGTTTGGCCAATGGGAGCATTGGCAGGAGTCAGAGGGTGGAAGGATGGGGATGTTGGGGAGCCCAGTGCACCCTCCCCAACCCCGCCCTCTCTGGTAGCAGCATCCTGGGAGCCACCACCTTCCCCCTCCTGCCTTCAGGCCTGGGCTGGCTGTGGAGCCCACTGTTTAGTTCCCAGGGCTACACTGTTCTTTATAGTATCCCTACTCCCAGGGCACAGCTCTATAAATAGTCTCTTTGTTAAACTTCCAGTTTTCTCAGTTTCAATGTGCCATCTGTTCCTTGCCAGGACCCAGACTGATAGGGGGTCTTGGGCATCTGGGCCCTGGCCGTCCCTCCCTTACTTGGCCCCACTGGGCAGTAGCGCCACAGTGGGCGAAACTGAAGCAGGGACACTGGTTTTCATTGTGGCTTCATCCACCAACCAGGTCAATAGCCATTTTCCCCTTTTCTGGAAGCCACTCCTTTTTTAGACACCTCCGTGACTTTCTCCTGGCTTTTTGCTTCCCAGGGTCACCACATAGTGCCACACACGTCATGCCCCCCAGACAGCACCCCACACTCTCAGCCCCCCAGTGCCCTTTCCCCATCAGAGCTCACCTCCTACCACCACCCCCTTTCCCCTCGGGGCTCACATTGGTCTCTGCTGAGTGACCCAGTAGCTATTTTGATCCAAAAAATTACTTCTATAAATAAATACTAATGTATTTTTAGGTTACTCCTTGTTTAAAAGAAAAAGTCACTTTCTGAGGGGCTTTCAGGAGAGATGATTCCTTAACCCAAAGGAGCAAGTCTAAATGATGGTAATTTCATACGCTCTTTCATTTTGAAAGGGCATCTACAATTGGTGGTGGCTGAGGGGGCAGGAAGATGTTTGGGACAGTGCAGGCCCTCGTTTCCTCCAGATTGCACTGGGTGGGTTCCTGCCTCCTCCACATGCCACCTGAACATGGAGTCTGGGTTCCAGGATGGAATGGTTCCAGGATCATTCTTCTTGTGAATGATCTCTAGGCTAGTGTTGCCCTCGGCAGTGGGGCCAAGCCCAGGATCCCCTAGGATACCACGAGAGCTGATGGAATGCAAGGAGGGGCCCTAGGCCTTTGCTGGGAACTGCTCCTAACCTCAGGTATGACCTGTTCAAACTCTTCCAATAAACAGCATTGTAAAGACAAATATGCATCATCTCTAGGCCACACACGATGGGAAACACTTTGATTTGCTAACACTCATTCATTCACCTTCAGTTTCTAGATTAATGCTGTCTTTAATGATGTTTACAGCTTTCTCTTTGCTCATCTCTCTGACACTTTCACCACAAAGATGTGTGATGGCAAGTTTATTTTAGTCTTTTTACACATACGAATGTATGCAGTTCACCATCTTGTTGGTTGTGGTCTTCTCTACATTTATATCCATGGTGTCCTCTGCTCAAAATCAGCTCATTTTAAAAGATACATTTCCACGTCAGGTAACAAAACAAAGTAACCTTAATTATTAGAGAATTAAAAGCAATCAAGCTAATAGGTTTTGAATATAAAGGAAATATTTTTTTGTAGCTTAAGTCATCAACAGATATGACTTCTTTATCCTCTTTTTCCTTTATCTCAACCTTTCTCTCAATTGACTATCATCTAAAATTGAAATACAATCTTTAAAGAAGCATTTTTGTTCTTTGTTTTATTCATCTTTCCTTACTGTAATACAGATGAGCCTAATTTTTTATTTTCTTTTTTAAGTATTCAAATTGGGTGCTCTGGGATTCCTCTGGCTCATGATTGATTTTTATTTTGAGACCAGTGTGACCAATGATAAAAATTTTTTCTCATGTAAAAAATATAGTTACAGCTATATTGTCGGTTTAGACTGGCTTTATTTATTTATTTATTTACTTTATTGTATTTTTTCCATTACCATTTAGTCCCCTTATATTCCCTCCCCACCAGCAATCACCAACACTCTTGTCCGTGTCCATGAGTCCTTTTTCCTTTTTGCTCAATCCCTGCACCCCCTAACCTCCCCTTAGCTCTATCCTGCTCTCTACCCATGAGTCTGTCTCTATTTTATGTGTTTCATTTGTTGATTAGATTCCACATATGAGTGAAATCATATGGTATTTGTCTTTCTCTGACTGGCTTATTTCGCTTAGAATAATGTTCTCTAGGTTCATCCATATTGTCGCAAATGGTAAATTTTTCTTTTTGTGGCTGAGTAGTATCCCACTGTGTAAATGTCCCATAGTTGTTTTATCTACTCATCTACTGATGGACACTTGGGCTGCTTCCATGTTCTTTTGAGTTAGTGTTTTGGGTTCCTTCAGATATATTCCCAGCAATGGGATTGCTGGGTCAAAAAATTTTTAATTTTTTGAGGTATCTCCATACTGCTTTCCACAGTGGCTATACCAGTCTGTATTCCCACCAACAGTACAAAAGATTTCCCCTTTCTCCACATCCTTACCAGCACTTGTCTGTTGATTTATTGATGATAGCCATTCTGACACGTGTGAAGTGATGCCACATTGTGGATTTAATTTGCATTACTCTGATGATTAGTGACATTGAGCATCTTTTCATTTGTCTATTGACCATCTGTATGTCCTCTTTGGATAAGGCCTCCTTTGCCCATTTTTTAATAGGGTTGTTTAGGGGGGGTTTTGGTGTTGCGTTTTATAAGTACTTTTTAAATTTTGGATATTCATCTCTTATCAAATGTATCGGCAAATATGTTCTCTCATTCTGTAGGTTGTCTCTTTATTTTGTTGATGTTTTCCTTTGCTGTGCAAAAGTTTTTAGTTTGCTATAGTCCCATGGGCTTATATTTACTTTTGTTTCCCTTTCCTGGGGAGATATATCCAAAAAAATATTGCTACAAGCAGTGTCTGATATTTTGCTGCCTATGTTTTCTTCTAGGATTTTTATGGTTTTGGGTCTAGCATTTAAGTCTGTAATCCATTTTGAATTTTTCTTGTCTATGGTGTAAGAAGGTGGCCTAGTTTCATTTCTCTGCACATATCTGTCCAATTTTCCCAACACCATTTATTGAGTAAACTATCTTTGGCCCACTGTATGTGTTTGCTTCCTCTGTCAAATATTAACTGACTATAAAGTCAATTAATAGGTTTATTTCTGGGCTCTCTATTCTGTTCCATTGATCTATGTGTGTTTTTATGACAGTACCAGGCTGTTTTGATTACTATGGCCTTGTAGTATAGTTTGTTACTGGGTAGTGTGATTCCTCCAACTTTGTTCTTTCTCATTATTGCTGCTGCTGTGTGGGGTCTTTTGTGGTTCCATACAAATATCTGAAATATTTGTTCTAGTTCTGTGAAATACATCACTGGAATCTAGATAGCAATTGCATTGAATCTATAGATTGCTTTGAGTAGTATGGACATTTTAATGATGTTAATTCTTCCTATCCATGAACACAGTATGTGCTTCCACTTAGCTTCAGTTTCTTTCTTGATTGTCTTGTAATTTTCTGAATACAGGTCTTTTATATCCTTGGTTAGATATACTCCTAGGTATTTTATTCTTTTTATAGCAATTGTTAAGGGGATTGTTTTCTTAATTTCCCTTTCTGTTAGTTCATTATAGGCATA